TACTATAGATAACAATATTTTTGATATTGACTATTTTATGCTGTATATTTATACTATCAGTATCTCTACAAAACTGTGCGGAATGTGTCTATTTACATCTGATGTGACAACTATTAGACAAAAAATTATTCAACTTGATGAATTTCAACGCTTACACAAAACATGACGGCTCCATACTTTTTTTATTGCCTTAGGGTGCATGGTCAGAAACTAATTTTATAAAAATCTCCATTCTTTTTTTAACCAAAAATTTTACAAAAGTACCAATTACAAAGAGCATAAAATTCAAGGCATCATCCTAAACAGATTGTTTTCTTGTGGTGTGAAGTTGTTTTATGAAAAATTACTACCCGAGAATGTATCAACTCACCAGATTGCTTCTGCTACATTTGTGGTAACTTCTTCTTCTTTAAGTGCCGTCTCCTTTAAGAAGGTTGGCTATCATCACGGCTATCTTCACCTTTGACACTGCTGCTCTAAACAGCTCAACAGAGTTACAATTGTACCACTGCCTCAAATTGTTTAGCCAGGATACACGTCGTCGGCCTATGCTTCTTCTGCCCAGTATCTTTCCCTGTATAATGATCTGCAGCAACTCATATCTCTCACCTCTCATGACATGACCCAGATACTGCAATTTTCTTATTTTAATTGTATTTAATATCTCCTTTTCCTTGTTCATTCGTTTTAAAACGTCGTTGTTCGTAACCTTATCGATCCAACTTATTTTTAAAATTCTTCTATAAGCCCACATCTCAAACGCTTCTATTCTGTTACTTATATCTTTTTTAAGCGTCCAAGCCTCCATTCCATATAATAACACAGAAAATACATAACATCTAAGCATTCGTACTTTAAGTTGCAGACTCAGATCATTGCTGCAAAGTACTTTTCTCATAGTATTGAATGTTGATCGGGCTTTTCCTATACGTGATTTGATTTCCTGTGTGTAATCGTTGTTTTCGGTTATGATTGTTCCCAAGTATGTATATCTGTTCACCTTTTGAACGAGTTCGTCCCTAATCCATAACGTGTCCTGTTGTTGTGTCTTTGCGATGGTCATGAATTTCGTCTTTTTGATATTTAAAGTAAGTCCAGCCTCTTCGCTACTGTCTACAATCTTATTTATCAGAACCTGCAATTCTTCAACTGACTCTGCGATTACTAAAGTATCATCGGCGTATCTGATGTTATTTATAAGTTCTCCGTTGACTTTAATTCCACTTGATGTTTCCTTTAGTGCCTTCTGAACTACCTCTTCTGAATAGAGGTTAAAAAGCAGCGGAGACAATATGCATCCCTGCCTTACCCCTCGTTGTATTTCTATTTCTTCTGATAGTTCGTTGCCAACCTTTACAGATGCAACTTGATTAAAGTAAAGGTTTGATATTATTCTAATATCTTTCATATCCAGATTTTTATCTTGAAGTAGCTGTAGGAGGCGATTATGTCTGACTTTGTCAAATGCCTTATTGTAATCAAGGAAACAGACATAAAGAGGTTGGTTAACATCCATACATCTTTGGGCCAATACATTCAGGGCAAACAAGGCCTCTCTTGTACCCATTGCGTTTCTGAAGCCAAACTGCGTGTTACTAATATCTTGCTCCAGTTTTCTGAAAATTCTTTGATGTATAATTTTCAAGAATATCTTTAGAGTGTGGCTCATTAAGCTGATGGTTCGATGGTCACAGCATTCTCTAGCGTTAGCTTTTTTCGGTAGAGTCACGAACGTCGACTTAAGCCATTCTTTTGGAATGACGCCTGTATCATATATGGTGTTGTACAAGTCTTTTAGTATATCTATTTGATCTTCTGCGATTAATTTTATAATTTCCGCTGGTATCTCATCAGGACCTGTAGCTTTATTATCTTTTGCCAATTTTACTGCATGCATGACTTCTTCTTTTGTTATACTGGGCCCCGTTTCTCTACTGTTGTATAGTTCTATGTTTTCTGGTTGTCTCTCATCTTTAAATAATTCCTGTATGTATTGTTTCCATCTTTCTATTTTCTTGTTGTTATCAAGGATAATTTTACCTTTTTCATCTAATAGAACACTACTGTGGTTTGTTTTTCTGATGCCGGCCAGTTCTTTTACCTTCCTATGTAGATTAAAGTCATCATGCCTTTCCAATAGTACTTCTATTTCCTCACACTTGTTTGAGTACCATTTTTCCTTGGCTTCTCTTATTTTCTTTCTAATTACACCATATATGTCTTTATATTTTTCGATGTCTACGTTCTTGTACAATCTTCTCTTTTCCATCAATTGCAGTATCTCATCATTAATCCATGACTTTGTTGTGTTATTATTTTTCTTTCCTTTTAGAATCTCCTTCGTTGGATTCAGCATTATGTTTTTAAATGTTTCCCATTTTCTGTTCGAATCTTCGTCTGGATCGATTATATTTATCTTTATTTCCTCGTTAATTTTTTTGGATAGCTGATCTCTTACAAATGAATTTTTCAAAAATGAACGTTGTATTTGATTCTTATTGCAACGTGCAGTTAGTTTTTTAAATCGGAGATCGAATGATACAACAACGGGATTGTGGTCTGTGGCTGCATCAGCCCCAGGGTATGTTTTTGCTGATTTAATGGAGTTCCGAAACCTTTTTCTTATTAAAACATAGTCTATCTGGTTTCTAATAACTTTCCTATCATTATCCGCAGGCGATCTCCAGGTGTAGAGTCGACGATTAGGTAACTTAAAATAAGTGTTTGTAACTACCAGACTGTTCTCTTGACAGAACTCCACCAATCTTTCCCCCCTCTCATTTCTTAAACCAAGTCCATATTTCCCTACAATATCTTCTACTTCTCCTTTTCCTACTTTTGAGTTAAAATCGCCCATAACAATCGTGATATCTCTATGCTTTGTATTATCCAGGGCTTGTTGTATATCTTTATAGAATTGTTCTATTTCATCGTCTGTCTTGTCGGAAGTTGGAGCATATACTTGGATTATATTTAACTTTCGTTGGATCATTGTTAAAGAAACCATAACTACTCTATCTGAGATAGGACTGAAAGAAGTGACTGATTGACATAAGTTCTTATCAACAATGATTGCTACTCCATTTCGATGGTTTGGATCATTATTTCCCGAATAGTATATTTTGGAATTTAAAATCTGTTGTTCACACCGAGTCTGGCCATCTGGTTTCACTTAGTCCCAATATTTTGACAGACATGCGTTGCATTTCTTGTATGACGTTGTGTATCTTTCCGGCTTCATAAATTGTTTTAATATTCCAGGTAGCGATCTTTGCACCTTTATTCTTTTTGTAGGGTTTTCGTAGATTAACGACCGGGGGAGCCCTACAGTCTTTTGGTTGTCTACCCCTGCCGGATCTTGACGACCGAAAATCATGATCAGTAACTTGTTGTAACCATCTTGTACTAGCCATAATGATTAACTAGGGATATCCATTAAGGATCTTTAATGTAGTGGTTTTCCCCTTGCCTTCTACATCCTTACGCCGTTGACCTATTTTTTCGGTTCGTCCGCCTTTAGGGTCAGTTTCCCAACCCCAGGACAAAAGGGTGCCCTACCACTTACCAACTCATCCGCCCGAAGCCGTTGGTCAGTAAGTGGGGGATTGCTTATACCGGCAAACGTTCGGTAGAATTTTCGCCATATCTGGCTACCCTCACTTAGTTTAGCCTGCAGACCAATGCAGTTGCCCGGGGTGTGGCACGTGGAGCCATAAGTGAGAGTTAGTTGTCTTATGAGGACCAGTTATCAAGAACCATCTCCCGTCTATGACGCTCGATGTGGTCGTTCCGATAAAAGGTGCTACCTCTATAACACCAACTCTACACCCCTTGGTAACTATACAGTTAAAAAACAACAAAGAAACATTCCGATTTTGTTGAAAAGGTATATTTTGCCTATTTTGGTATAAAGTTGGGTGATCAAGACAAGTCTTGGGTCCCACACAAAGTTTGTTCAGTGTGTGTTGAAGAACTGAGACAATGGTTTCAAGGTAAAAAAGCAGTAATTTCGTTTTGGAATACCAATGGTTTGGAGGGAGCCCAAAAACCATAGTGATGACTGCTATTTTTGTTCTTGCAATGTTCAAGGTTTTAATTTGAAAAACAAAAAGGATATTTCTTACTCTAACATCAAATCAGCCATTCGCCCTGTTCCTCATGGACCTGAAGTACCAATACCCTCTCCTCCAGTTTCTTTGGATGGTATTTTAGATGACCACGAGCCATTGGCTCAGCTAGGTGAAAGTGAAGAAGACAGTGATGGCTAAGATCCTGGCACAACCGATCCCATTCCATTCTCACAATCTGAACTAAATATTTAGTTAGAGACCTAGGTCTTCCTAAAACTTGGCAGAACTTTTAGGGTCTAGATTAAAAGATAAAAATATGTTGGCTCCGGGTACGTACCTTTTCTTGGTATCGTTCCAGGGAAAAGAAGTTTGTATCTTTTTTCTCTCAAGAAGGTGACTTGGTGTTTTGCAGTGATGTTCCTGGACTTATGGCACGTTTCAAAATAGAATATGCTCCTGAGGAGTGGAGCCTTTTTATAGATTCTTCAAAAAGAAGCCTTAAAGCAGTGCTTCTACACAATGGCAATAAGTATGCTTCTATGCCAGTTGGACATTCTGTTCACTTCAAAGAATGTTATGAAAACCTCGAACTGGTTTTAAACAAACTCTGCTATTCAGACCATAAATGGATGCTATGTGGTGATTTGAAAGTGATCTCAATGCTGCTTGGTCAACAAAGTGATTATACAAAGTTCCCTTGCTTTCTCTGTAGAGACAGAAAGCAACACTACATTAAAAAAGTTTGACCCTTGAGAAAAACCTTACAGGTAGGGGTTAAAAATGTTGAGAGGAAAAGCCTTGTGGATCCCAAAAAGGTATTACTACCACCACTCCACATTAAGTTGGGGTTAATGAAACAATTTGTAAAGGCAAAACTAAAGGAAGGAGTCTTTGTCGGACCAGACATTAGAAAACTGATGAAAGATCCCAATGTTATGGACAAAATGGAAACAAACAAAAACAGCATGGACATCTTTTAAACTAGTTATTACCGGTTTCCTAGGAAACAAAAAAGATCCTAACTACAAGACAATCGTCGCAGACATGCTCGACAAGTTTAAGAAGCTGGGATATAACATGAGCATTAAAGTTCATTTTCTCCATTCACATCTAGACTACTTTCCTGCAAACCTTGGTGATGTAAGTGAAGAGCAGGGTGAAAGATTCCACCAAGATATCAAGGAAATGGAAAGAAGGTATCAAGGAAGATGGAACGTCAACATGATAGCGGACTACTGCTGGATGTTAAAACGAAATGACCCTCAACAAGTACGCAGCCGGAAAAGCAATAAAAGAAGCTTCGACGGAAAGCAAAAGCGTTACTATAAGGACTTATGAGCTTATAGAGAAGTGTAAGTGTACTAGATATGTAGTTTATAACATGTATTATACATGAAATAAAATCCTTTAACTTAAGAAAAAATTTGAAAAATTGCTAAAATTTTGTTATTATATCAAAAAGTTATTCCTTTTTTGTGAGAAAACCTTATGTGATAGAAAAAATGGATTGCATTTTTGCAATCAGCGCTGAAAAATACATAAAAATCAGTTATGAGATTCCAAACAATTTTAAAAAATATTTTTTTTGTAAACCTGTGAAATCTATTCCTTGACCATTTCATTGTATTTTTGGTATTTTAACGCCACATATATTCGGCAATAGTAATATTACTTCGAATTTTTGTTTATTTTCGTTAATTTTTAGGCATACTTTACATTGTATCAACAAAGTAGCCGTTTATAGACATAAGCAATAACAGTTAATATTGATTTACAGAGCTATAACATTTGTATCTTTAAAAAAACCAATAAATCATGCTAACTGTTTGAGCAGCAATAAAAGGACATACTTCCGATTCACCACAAATTTTGAAAACTGAATAATGGTTTATTTTACGTAACGCGGTCTTTTAAGAGGTCTATAAAATGGGAAATAATATTTTACAACCATGAGCAAGACGAATGCCATCCAGATTTTTTAAATAACTTTATATATTATTATATAAACTATAATTATATTATTATAATAACTTTAGTAAACACAATTTGACAAAAAGTCTGATTTAATTTGTGGCCTTTTGCAAATCAAACTTAAATACTCAGTAAAAATTAATTATTATTTTTATATGGGATTAAGCTGCAGTTGATTGTAATGAAAATTATATTTGACCTAATGTTTGACGTTTCGATTTTCACTCTGGAAATCGTTTTCAATAAAAAGATAATTTTAAAATTCTACGAAAATGCATACCAAAAAGTTGTTAGTAAGTTATGTTTTTCAAAATTAATGATGACTTACTTGGCGTCGATATTTTAGGTCAACGGTCGGCAAGAGGCGAACTACGGAATATCGATTGCTAAGTCAATCAAGTTCAAAATAAAACTGCTGCTAATTTTTAAATAGGAAGTAAATGATAAATAAACATAATAAGAATTATGTATAAGTGATGAATATATAAACCTGGGAATTCTGTTGAAAATCTGGCAGCTTTCAAAAAGAAATTTGGAGAAATAAAATTTATGGGCCTGGCAATGCTACTGCCCATTGAATGACAGTCGCTCACTAGTTGCTCATTGACATGCACGTAACGCACTGCAGTTAATTTTTGTGATTACTCGCGCTTTCGTTCGTTTTATAAAACATATTTTTGTACTACGTTAATATGGATCCGAAAAAGGAGAAAAGTGGACAGTGAAAATAGGAAGTTTTTGCAGAATGGACTGAACAATATTGTTTTGCGCTGCCTGATATGCGGCAAGCGGTTCCGGTGTGCCTTATATGCAATAAAACTGTTGTCTTATTTAAAATGGAAACTTGAAGCGACCATACAAAACAACTTATCAGCAGTTCCACAAAAACTTTCCTCTTGGAAGTCAGGCGTTGTAAAGAAAAAAACTTCGGGTATATCTTAATTCTTACGAAAAAAAGCACAAAAATCCTAGTTCGCTGCATGAGCGACCAAGAAAAATCCACAGAGGCAACGTTACGTGTGTGCTAGATACTTAATAAACACCAAAAACCATTTTCTGAGATCGTGAAGGAATGCATGCGGCAGTGGCTAACTCACTTTTTGAAGAAAAAAAGATGTTGCCTCAGCAATTCAAAGTATCTCATTGTCAGCGCCAAGTAATACACGAAGAACAGACATTTTAGCTGCGGATAATAAAAACTCTCTTCTTCTTCTTCTTATGATACCTATCCGTTACGGATGTCGGAAACTAACATGGCTATTCTGACTTTGTTGACTGCTATCCTGAAAAGTCCGGTACTGGTTAAGTTAAACCATTTCGCAGGTTATGCAGCCAGGATCTTCTTCTTCGTCCTGGACCTATTTTCCCATGCAGTTTACCTTAAGTATGGGCCGAAGTAGGTTATATCGTTGTTCAATGCGCATTATATGGCCCAGGTATTCCATTTTCCGACGTTTTATGATTACGACTACTTCGCGCTCTTTACCCATTCTATGTAGTACTTCTTCGTTGGTAACTCTGTCTACCCAGGAAATCCTCAACATGCGTCTATAGCACCACATCTCAAATGCTTCGAGTCTCTTCAGTGATGCTTCAGTTAAGGTCCTTGACTCCACGCCATATAAAAGAACGGAAAATACGTAGCATTTTAGTAAACGAACTTTTATTTTCAATTTTATATCGTGGCTGTTAAAAGATTTTTTCATTTTGACGATAGCTGATCTTGTCTTCTCGATCCTTATCTTAATTTCCGTCGATTGGTCCCACTGTTCATTTAAGTTTGCATCCAGATAACAAAAGTTGGTGATTTGTGTTATAGGTTGTTGGTTAACTAGTAATTGACCAGGTGGTATCCTATTTTTGCTTATAACCATATATTTGGTTTTTTTATGTTAAAATAAGCCCAAACCTGCTACTTACTTCTGCCACCCTGGAGACAAGTATCTGGAGACCTTCAAAACTGTCTGCCAAAATAAAATGACAGTATCATCAGCGTATCTTATGTTGTTCAATCGTTCTCCGTTTATAAGTATTCCCTCGTCTATGTCCATTGGCGCTAGGTTCATAATTTGCTCTGAATATACATTGAACAATAACGGGGACCATATAGATCCCTGTCGCACACCTCTTTTTATCTTTATGTCGTCTGTTAACTGATTTCCAACTCTAACTGCTGCAGTTTGTTCGTAATAGATATTGTTTATTATACGGCGATCTCTGCTGTCTAGACCAATTGAATTTAATATTTTCATCAGTTCGTCATGTTTTATACTATCGAACGCTTTCTGATAATCAACAAAACACGACATATTATATCACAATTCACGTCTTTCCATCTTTGAAAGAGAACTTGTATTGCAAGAAGTGCCTCTCGAGTATCCAATGCATCCCTGAAGCCGAATTGTGTGTTTGTCATGTGTTCTTCACACTTTTTTATATATTCTTTTATGTATAATTTTTAAAAAAGTTTTCAGGAGATGGCTCATAAGGCTTATTATTCGATAATCTTCACATTTTTTTTTGGATTGGGTTTTTTTAGGGATTGTTATAAAAGTTTATCTTAGCCACTGTTGGGGTATTTTTCCACTTTGGTATATATTGTTGAAGATCAAGGTAAGTCTTTTTACTTCGTATTTATCTCTCTTCTTAATCTTTTGCAAAAGGGACCTTGCTACGTCATAGCACTTGATGAATCATGTGACATTGTTGATGACAAACAAATGTCTGTTTTTGTAAGATTTCTTGATATTGAGTGTCAGATTTTTAGGGAAGAGTTGCTAGCAATATTGCCGCTGAGTAGTAACACTCGAGGAGAAATTTATTCAAGGTTATTGATGAATTAATTTCTAAATCTAACATCGGTTATAATAAAATGATTTCGCTTTCTACTGATGGGGCCCCAGCAATGATTGGCAAGAAAAAAGGTAAAAATAATCAGGGATAGAAATTCAAATTTAATAACATATCAGTGCATAATACACCAGGCTGCCCTTTGTGAAAAACTTAGTGCTAGACTTAAAGAAGTCATGGACAGGTTAGTGAAGTTAATTAATTTTATAAGATCTTATTCTGTTCTTCAACACCGACATTTCAAGGAGTTTTTTTCTGAATGTGACTCAGCATATTCTGACTTACTACAACACAATAATATTCGTTGGTTAAGTAAAGGTCGAGTTATTGAACGTTTCTGGCTAATGAAAGAACATGTGATCTCCTGCTTACAAAATATAGATACGCAGGGAGCCAAGGTCACATTTTGAGTATATAACAAACATGAGCAACATACTGCTTCTTCTTTTCTAAAAGATACTTTAAAATATTTGAATGCGCTTAACACAGAGTAACAAAGAAATGGAAAATTAGTATCTGATCTGATACAAAGCGTGTCTGCTTTTCGTCGTAAGCTGGTTATCTTTGAAAAAAGATATTGCACAACAAGAATTTATTCATTTTCCAACTATTCTTAAATATAATTTAAAATAAGTAGTTTTAACTATACGATCGTTAATAGTCGAACGTTCAAATTCAAATAAAGTAAAAGTTCAAATAATGAAACATGAATCCCTACAATAACTACTTATTCACCGCCGTAAAAGTAGGCAATTTATAATACAATTTAATTATATCGATTTACAATAGAATCGATTTCCATGTCATTAAACGGACAACGAATACTAGCCAGTGGCCACATTTATTTTAGAACAGAACTTCAAGAAGGAAAGTAGTTAAGTTATCACGGCAGGCAGAACTTAGGAGCAGGGAAAGGAAAAAATTTAAGTTATTTATGGGTTTTTTGGGAAATGTGAAAAAGTATTTAGTTTATATATAGTTTTATTTAGAAATTTCGTTGTTTTATGGGGAAAATCACTCCGAGGTTCTTCTAAGTACCTTCAATACACGTACATCTTCCATTTAAATTTGCCAGTTCTCAATCATTTAAATCTTCTCACATTATTAGACCTAGCCAAAAATCATTCTTATTTTTATATAATTTATAAGTGAATTCCAGTATAAAAATATTAAATATTTGAGTCAAGGACACTTAATGACCAATATATTCCAGTTTTTGTCATTTGAACAAAAACTATAAGTATAAGAAGATAGAATAAAAAGGTTTTTTTTTGTTCTTTTGTAGCCTGCGGCTCCAATCATTGGACCTTTCTTTTTATTTTGGGAAAAGAATATATTTAATTTGGATACTTGGATTTGGGAGGAAGATTTTTTTATTTTTTGGGAAGAATTTTAGTTTTGATTTTCTGGTTGGTCTGCCCGTACGTGGCGGATACAAAGAACGTAGGTTGATCCATCCTAGA